TCGAGGTCGAGGGGCTTAGGCGCCGCCCCCCAACGCAGGGGGGCGGCCTAGGCCTTGAGTTTAGGGTTTAGGGTAGGGTTTAGGGTTTATGGTTTGGGGTTTAGGGTTTAGGATTTAGGGTTTAGGGTTTAGGGTTTAGGGTTTAGGGGCCTTGGGGCTTAGGGCTTCGAATGTTCCTCGAAAAGGGAAACGAGGGAACGGAGGCAACCCCGAAGTTCAAGGGGCCAACTCCCAGCTGCCGCCCAGCCACTCGCAAGGTTTGCGGACGCGACCTGTTCCAGACGATCGATGAGGGGTGTTTGGGGTTTAGGGTTTAGGGTTTAGGGTTTAGGGTTTAGGGTTTAGGGTTTAGGGCTTGGGGCCTGCTGTTCTATAAACAGGCCCCATTTTAACAGGGACCTCATTCAGATCCCTTATTGCACGACGGCCGGGCTGACCCCAGACCGTGCAGTGATAGCTCAACGACATGTGTCGGCTACAGGGCTTCCCTAAACCCTGAAGACCCTAAAGACCCTAAACCGTGAAACCCCAACCTGCAAGAACCCCAAACCCCAAAACCCGAAGCCCTATTGAAAACCCAAAAAGCCCCAAAGACCCCTAAAAACCCCAAAAACCCTAAACCCTAAACCCGAAGCCCTAAAAACCCTAAACCCTAAACCCCAAGCCCAGGCCCCAAAGTTGGAGGCCTCATTTTGCGTATCCCCGGCGAAGCTAACCGAATCGAACCTCTGTGGCCCTCAACCGATTGGCACCTCCCAATGCTTGGACCCTGCCGGAAGGTTTAGGGTTTAGGGTTTAGGGTTTAGGGTTTAGGGTTTAGGGTTTGGGGTTTGGGGTTTGGAGTTTGGGGTGTGGGTTTTGGGGTTTAGGGTTTAGGGTGAGGGTTTAGGGTTTAGCTGTTAGGGATACGGGAAGGTTCATGGGCAATTACAAGCAGGGCTATAAGCAAGGTAACCTGTATCATGACACGTAAGTAGGGAGCTTGTAACCCTGCTTGCAACTACCCATGAACCTTCCCGCATCCCTAAACCCTACCCTAAACCCAAACCCTAAACCCTAAAACCCAACAGGCTTAGGGTTCCGACGCTCGTCTTTTCACTCCTTGCGTAGCTGGGCGCACCGCCCAAGGCTTAGGGTTTTGGTTTTCAGGTTTAGGGTTTAGAGTCTTAGAGTTTAGGGTTCAGGACCTTAGGGTTTAGAGTCTTAGAGTTTAGGGTAGGGTCGTTCGGTTCAGGGTCGGGGGGGTTTCGGGTTTAGGGGTCTTAGTGGCTTGGGGTTCAGGGTCTTGGGGTCTTGGGGTTTAAGGTTTCAGGTTTCGGGCTTTAACCCCTAAACCCTAAACCCTAAACCCTAAGCCTCAATCTCAGGGTTTAGGGTCTTCCTGGCGGGCCTCGGCCGCCCGGCTGTAGAGCTCGGAGACCTCCGGGAGGTCGCCACCCGTTTTCACCTGCCAAAACCGTGGGGCTGTTTGGGAAAGTTTAGGGATTAGGGTTTAGGGTTTAGGGGTTTTAGGGGTTTTAGGGGTTTTAGGGGGTTTAGGGGGTTTAGGGGGTTTAGGGGGTTTAGGGGGTTTAGGGGGTTTAGGGGGTTTAGGGGGTTTAGGGGGTTTAGGGGGTTTAGGGTTTCGGGCTTAGGGTTTGCAAAGATGATCAGGTTAGAACAAACAGGCTTATTACGAGCATGCAAGTTTAGTAGTAATGCTGAGCAATGAATGGCTCACAGTCGACAACGCTCATATATCTATACTTCATGGTCTAGAGTCGAAAGTCTGCAGTCTCAGCACTCCTTTGAAAACTTTGTCTGGACCTCTGAACCCTTCTTGAAGAACCCTAAACCCTAAACCCTACACCCTAAAACCCTTTCAAGGCCCGATCTTGGACCTTCTGGCTCCCTGGCCTTTGCCAAGGCAAAGAGCAGCTTGGAGACGTCGTCCATCGACCAGCTGGGGACCGCCTCAGGGAGGTTCACGTCAGGGGGGGGAGGAGGGGGGGAAGCGGTGGGAGTTTGGGGTGGTTTTGGGGGGTGGTTTCGGGGGCGATGTGGTTTTGGGGTGGTTCTAACCCTAAACCCTAAACCCTAAACCCTGGTGGTTCCGGGTGGTTCTGGGGTGGTTCTTTGGGAGTGGATGATGCTTTTGCAAGGCGCCAGCTGCTGCCACCGGAAAGGAACACCTTCAGCAAGCAAGGCCTGCAACAAACATCCCCCGGGGGCTCCGGAAGGAGTCATATCTGAAGTAACCCTAAACCCTTAAACCCTGACTAAACCCCCTGAACCCTCGACTTTCCGAAGCCTCAACCCAACATTTAAGAAACCAGACCGGGGGCCCCTGAAGTAAGGTTTTACGCTGTAGGGGTCCTTAGCCTTCAACCAACAAGGGTTAGGGTTACGGGTTTCGGGTTCAGGGTTCAGGGTTTAGGTTTATGGTTTAGGGTTTAGGGTTTGGGGTTTAGAGTTGAGGGTTTAGGGTTCAGCTAGGGCTTAGAGTGAGAGAGGCAAAAAGAAGCGCCGCTGCTCAGGCGTCGGCTCCTGCGCATGCCTTCGCGACAGTAGGCAGGATGGTCTCCGCAACGGGCTTGGACCTCTTGGCCCGAATTTCAGGAGCGCAGTTTTACCCTTGCTTGAAGGTTCATGGCTTGTTGTAAGTAGGGTTATAAGTAAGGTGACCTATACTCTAAACTTGGCGAAGGTACTTATAACCCTACTTGCAGCTACCCGTGAACCTTCAAGTAGCTCCCCCAAAAGAACTTGCAGGGTTAGAGGCCTACTTGTTTGACGAGTTCACGCTTTCAGAAGCTCGCCATGGTTTTCCAACTTCAGGGCACTGCTGTGGTTGGCCGTGCCCTGCTCTGCTGCCAGAAAAATGTTGAGAAAAATGTTGGGATGCTTGGTGTCATTTGCGTTTGGGGTTTAGGGCTGGGATGTTCCCCCTAATTATACTAACAATCCTTCCTGAACCCTAAACCCTAAACCCTAAACCCTAAACCCTAAACCCTTTTTGCAACTGGGAAGCCCAAACCCTAAACCCTAAACCCTGCAATAGGGATTTTAGTACCCAGGGCCCCGGCTTCGCGCAGGCCTCTGCAAGCTTCACGAGCTGCCTCAGCTTTCAAATTGGCGCTCTGGCTCTCTTGCTCTCGCAGGGTTTGGTTCCCTAAGTAGAGACCTTGAGGGGGCTTCGGGCTTCGGGTTTCGGGTTTTTAGGGTTTAGGGTTTAGGGTTAAGGGTTTAGGGTTTAGGGCTTAGGGTTTTCGGTTTAGGGCTTAGGGCTTAGGGTTTTCTGTTTAGGGCTTAGGGTTTAGGGTTTAGGGGATGGCGATCCCCCCCCCCCCCCCCCACATCCACTTTTTCCATTCCTCTACATGATGGCGCAGGTCTGACAACTGACAAACAGGGCCTTCATGACCGGGCTGTCTCCGCCTGTTTCTGAGATTACTTTCGGAAGTGCTGCGCGCCTAGTCGTGAAAGTGGTTTCTTGCTTCTTCCTGGTCAACCGCCGACCTCTGGCCGAGGACTGGCCTGATTCAAGAAGGGTATCATGATATTTGGACAGAACGCTCGGAAGCCATTGAACACGCGGCTTTTTGGGGACTGGGTGAGATGTCACCATCCCGGCAAAAGCTCACAAGGGATTTGTTTTACCTACCTTAACTCTTGGCCCGTGAGAACCTGAGATGCGGAACCCCTTCGAATAGGGGTCGCCCTTACGCACCCCAAGAATGCGATGATCCTTGCTGTAGGAGCCACAAAGTAGGTACCCCCTAATTTTTGCGAAAAAACCACACATACCAGAAGGTACTCCTAAACCCTCAACCCTAAACCCTAATTGTTGCCAACCCACACAGACCAGAAAATTCACTGACGGCCAGAAAGTAAGGCATAGACTCCGCTGGGAGTGCTTCCAGCACCGCGGCATTGACCCGCTCAATGAAGTTCGCCTTAGGAGGTTAGGGTTTAGGGTTTCGGGTTTAGGGTTTCGGGTTCAGGGTTTCGGGCTTAGGGTCTAGGGTTCAAGGCTTGTGGTTCACGCTTCTGCCTCCCACGAGGACAAGATGTAGCGACTTGGGCCCCCTCCTCAAAATCCAGAAGCCGTGCTCCGTTTCTGACAGCAGTTACTACACGCTCTAGTTGAGGATCTGGGGTCTGGAGTTTTGAGGCTCATCTTTCGGACATACCGAAGCAACTTCAAGATTTTGGTAAGGGCTTGAGTGGGGAAGGTCTTGAAAGGGGGGTGTGTGATCTGTGCAACTCTCCCAACTTCCTCCCAGCCTCCAGAGCGCAGGTGCTAAGGCGAGCACACACGCTTTGACATCATCTCCCTCGCCCTTGTCCCCAAGGCCTCAAAACTGTGTGCTCAGGCTTTGATGGTGGAGGGTCTACAATGTAACCAATTGTAACTGTACGTATAACCCACTTATAAGCCCCTTAAGTGCTTTAATAGGGTAACAAGTACTGTTATAAGTACAGTTATAATTGGTTAATAGGTACCATGAACCTCCAAGCAGCGTTTTGCGTGTCAGGGCTGTGCTTGAGACTTTAGCTTCTGCCCTGAATCTGGGCGCACAAGCCCTGCATGCCCTTGCCATACTGACCAGCCTATTCCCCCCGCATGATTCAACAAACTGTCCGCTCAGGTAGGGCACATAACTTCCTCATCGTCGCACCCCATATCACACGGAGTAAGAGTATCAAAGCAATATCCAGCACTCTGCTGCAGGCTTCTTCGAAGCGCTGTGCAGAAGCGGCTATGGGCTCGTGTGGGCCAAGTAGCGCAGAAAGCCATGACGTGCCTTCGGCTGCAAAGTTCGCAGGCTCTCGAGCGCTGTACACTTCCCGAGGGCTGCGGACGACCAACCGAACTACACGTCTTAACCACAGGAAGTTTAAGCAAATTCTTGGCGCATCTTCCGCATGTCAGGTCGCGTGCCTGATCAAACGACTGCGCCAAGAACAAACAAAGCAAATTAAAGCCCCTACAGTGCCCTGCAGTGCCCTGCAGTGCCTCAAGCCTTGGACTTCAGTGGCCGCATGAAGCGAGGCATGGCACCTGCCGTGCCAGCGACAGCCACGGCGGGCGGAGCGCTGGCCCTGAAGGCAGCCTCAGAGACCTGGGGCCTGGAAGCTGGTGTCGGCTTGGAGGTGCGAAGGGCAAACTTCTGCGTGCCCTTCGTCGGCGCCCCTTCCGTGGGGTACGCCGCGGCGCGCCGACCAGCACGATCCGACTGCGCGGCCATGGCGGCGGACTGCGGGGGGGCCGCGGCCAGGTCGGTTCCGGCCCCATTGGCAGGCCGCCTGCGGATTCCCGTGCCTTGCCCATGGGAGTCAAAGGAGTCAAACGTCCCCTACAAGTATGAACTCACGTTTGCCCAAGATTCATGCTGGAATCACCTCAAATGGTGGAACACCCCAAAAAAAACACCCGAGGCGCCTTCCCAGGCAGGAACCGCCTCGCCCTTGCGCAGGCGCTGGATGCGGCGCACCTTGCCGGTGGTCAAGTTGGTCTGCGTGCCGTGGCTGTCATCCTCGAAGTGCACTTCGAAGTCGTACCTTCCGAGGGTGTACCGCAGTGGCGCATCTGTGTTGCCGTCAAAGGGCTCCTGGGCTGCGCTTGTTTTTTGCGACGTCCCCCTTTGCATTGACATCTTTAGGAATTTAAGAAGGAACCTTAGTTACCTTAATTTGAAGGAACCTTAGTTGCCTTAAGGAACCTTAGTGACCTTAGTTTGAAGGACCACAACGTCGTGGCCGAGGCTCATTTCCGGGCAGCCATGCACTCCAGCCCTTCTCGAGCTCAATAAGCCACTGGTACTCTCCCTCGTAAGACTGCGCGGTGGATGTAAGATAGTAGCCTGGCATCACATGAGCCACAAGAGCTCGAATTGTTGCCATGGAGGTGAGGCTGATTTCTAACCCACCAGGGACCCACCATGCCTGAAGGAACATATGCCTCCATTATGTCTACTCACCCCCCCCAACCCCAAATCCCACACATCGCAGGCAGGCAGCAAGTGGGTAGGTTGCTGTCCGCCTTTGTGGCCTGCAACGGCCGGTCGGAAGCCACCTCTCGCGCGCGAGGTGCTGTAGAGTTTTTAAGTCGAGAAAAAGTTCGCCGAAGCCACAAGAAGCTCTTTCAAGGACATAAAGCCCAGGCCTTTATCAATTCCTCTGAAGACCGGTCCGAAACATGCCCAAAGGGCCCGCTACAAGGGCTAGTGGCTGCACCATGAGAAACGGCCCCCAACCCACACAACCCGGGGCAAACCCCTCTGCGCCTGAGCTTGTTGCACCTCCTGCTCGCCCTCAGCGCCCGGAAGCGCCTGGCCTTTTGGCGGTAGGGTTCAGGGTGTCGGGTCTACAGTTTTCCGGCATCCGCAATGCCTTAGGCTTAGCGGGATTCCGCCCAGGGGTGCTCCGTGGACAGTTGCACCCTGGCCTTTCCGGACGAAGCACAGTGGACGAGCCTTGCCCGTGGACAGGTTTGTGGAGGTTCCCTCAGTCTCACTCTGGAAGTCGACCTGCACCCGTCAACAAACCCTAAACCCTAAACCCCAAACCCTAAACCCCTAAGCACCTAAACCCTAAACACCCCTAAACTTTCAGGGGTGGAAGCCAACAGTTGGCTGCGAGGGCCACCTGAAACTCGGTCTTTCCGAAGGTGTATCGGAAGGACTCCTCCGTGGAGCCCTGAAACTTCTGCTCTCCCACCGTCCACGCGCTCCAGCCGCGCTCGAGCTTGATGAGCCACTCGCCTTCGATGGTTGCAGCCATGCCTTTTGGCAGATGCTACTTGACGGGTCTTTTGCCTCCCTGCGGCACCGCAGGCCTTCTGAGGATGCTTGAGCAGAAGCCCCGACACACACGGCTTCACAAGGTGATAGGGCAACCCACTTTAGGCCCTCCTGGGCCCCTAAGCTTTAGGACTTACGGCTCAACACTACTCGCACCCGGCAGATTGCTCTTGAGGGCTCAGCTGCTTGGGTGCCCGTGTTGAACATGCATGCATACATGCATACATACATACATACAAGGCGATAAGAAAACGAAGTACAACATGTAAAACACATGCAGAATTACAATGCCTGCATCTCTATCCGAGGCCACCGGCAGCAAGCCCAAAAAGGGTTTATGGCCTTTTTGGTACAGGGCTTAAGGCTGAGCGGCAGGGCCGCTCAGCCGAGAAAACCTCGAACCCCCCCCCCAAAAAAAAAAAACTTGCTGAAGACTCACCCGAATAGCAGATGTTTTGGGATCAAAGCCCTTAACACTGAACCCCGAAGCCTTTTTCTGCATTCGGACTCTCGTGGGTGCTGCCAGAAACTGCCCTAAACCCTAAACCCCTAACCCCAAACCCTAAACCCTAAACCCTAAACCCTAAACCCTAAATAAAGCGCCCGTGGGGCCGGGACCTGCCAGAGCCAGGGCCAGGATGTGAAAGGGCGCTGTGGAGCAAAGCAGGCCCAGGGCCTCTGCCCGTGAGGTTTCGGGTTTGGGTTTAGGGTTTCGGGTTTAGGGTTTAGGGTTCAGGGTTCAGGGTTCAGGGCTCAGGGCTCAGGGCTCAGGGCTCAGGGCTCAGGGCTCAGGGCTCAGGGCTCAGGGCTCAGGGCTCAGGGCTCAGGGCTCAGGGCTTAGGGCTTAGGGCTTAGGGCTTAGGGCTTAGGGCTTAGGGCTTAGGGCTGGGCTTGGGATGTTGGAAATAGGTGCACCCCCACACACACACATGCATGCCTAAGTCCGTGTTGTATGGCTGCGCAGATAATTTACACATCGCCCTCGACAGTTGCAGGCCAATGGACACAAACGCTTTGTCTTCGGCTTGAGGGCGGGAGGGTTGAGCGTGCGAAGGCTGTGCACCCGCCCAGATGGGGAGGGTGCCATCTTCGCTCCCTTTGGGCGTTGTGGGCCATGCGGGGAAGTCCAAGTGTGTGAACCTTACGGTTAAGACTCAGGACCTTTGGGCCACCGAGCTGGCTCAGCGCCATTTCGCAGGGTGTAGCGGAGACCCCCCACCGGTTTCGGCGTGCTATATCTCGTTTTTTGTACTATATATGTACATATATATATATATATATGTGTGTGTGTGTGATACAACATATATATATATATATTAAAGTCAAAGCCCACAGCGCACGCCCACGCTGAGGCCTTCGTCCCTGTGGCACCCACGCCCTGCTTTCGAATCTGGATGGCGGCAGCCTTCCGGGTGACAGTGAGAAATCGAGTAAACAGGCACAAGGTTTAGGGTTTAAGGTTTAGGGTTTCGGGTTTAGGGTTGAGGGTCTGAGAACTTCAAGATCTTGAAGACGGCTTCAGGGGGCCGCCTTGAGGGGGGGAGGCTGGGCAACAAATAGGACTGCCAGCAATCATGAAGCCCACACTGAAGACGACACCCAGGCCGCAACTGCCAACTGATCCCCAATATATGAGCGCAGGCGGGATAAGCCCACGAAGAACGTTTTGAAACAGTAAGCCGTTGATTGGGGTTTTTGGTATTTAAAGATTTTAAAGGGTTAGGGTACAGTGTACAGCGAGTATGCTATGCGCTTCCTTGCCCGATGCCAAGCCAGACGCCTCGCAGAGCTCTCTGAGCGTCGCGATACGCTGGTGCGTTAGCCGCTGGTCGGCCTGCAGTGGCAGAGTCACAGGCTCCTAGGATCCCCGCAGTGCGTCTGAAGGCCTGCAGCCTTCAGGGGCCGAGTTTTTGAACTTGTAGCACTATATCATGACTAATCGTCATCGCCGGCTGTTTCGGCACCTCAAGGCCCTTGAAACCTTCAGCCCCCACTGTGCAACTTTCAACAACAGCCTTTCTCAGGTCCTGGCCGTGTTTGGCTGGAACTTCATGACCATGTCAAAAAACCTCATAATGTCACCTGGGACACCAGGAGGCCAGCCGTCATCTATATGGCGCAATAGTATGGGTGATAAGTGAAGCCCCAAACCCTTTTTGGACCCAAGACCCTGAACCGCTTGAGAGCAAGCGCACGAAAGCTAGAGCAGTTCGGCTTAAGTGCGTAGATATATATATATACATGAAATGATGATGACATGACCTGATGTCATGTTGGTTGGTCTAACTGATGTCTAACTTGATTTGGTATGATATTGTCAATAGTCTGGTGTCCAATGCAACATTCTTAGCATGTGTACGTATTTTCTCGTTGATATGACCATTCGGGTAAGTTCTGGCTACTAGTAGGGGAGGGAAGCAAACAACAGCGAAAGCTTGCTGCCAACGGGCTCTTTCGTGACATGCGACTTCTAGTCTCTGACGACATTTTGGGGTCCCTCTCTAAAGTGTCCTGGGCCGCTACGCTGCTGGGGCTGAAGCCTTGGGATTCATCGAGAGCCAAACTGGCCCAAAAGAGGGTGCTACACTTTATCCAAACTCAGAGGAACAGTCCCTAGACCCTAAACCATAAACCCTAAATTGTGGTCAAGGCAGACCCGGCATTCCTTGGGTGCCCTGCCAAGCGTGGCACCCTGCAATGGCTCCAAAAGTTGGGGGGTGGGGGGGGCTTTTTGGGGTGTTCGAAGCTCCCGAGAGACGGCGGTTTGTGGGCTGTGGCTTGTTGCCGTGGTCAAGACAAACCTTTGGGCAGGGTCAGCTTGGAATCTTCAGCCTGCCACTGCCCCTCACAACACGACCTGACCTTGTTTACAGCGTACATTCGGCCGTGTTTGGGCTTAAACACTGTGGGTCAAGCTAGAATTTTGACGCTGGCAAACGCTAAAATCTCTTGACGCCCTAAACAGTGCAGCGTGGTCGCTATCTTGGGCACCGCGCGAGGACCTCTAGGACCAAAATTCCGCATCGAAAGCCGCTCTACACCCTACAAAGCCGAAGAAACCCTAAACCCGCCTGAGGCCCTGAACCCCTAAACCCCTGAAGCCGAAACCTGAAACCCTAAACCCGAACTCCTGAATCTTGAGCCCTAAGATGCCCCCGAATCACAAGCATCATCCCAAGGAACTGAACTGCCACCGAGATACGACGCACTACCAAGCACCCCCAGCCCCAGATCCGAAATTGTGGCGAAACTATCTTGCCCCCTTCAACCAAAAGAAGAAATCCAGCAAAAAAAAAGTTTCAAAATCACAGTAAAAAATAATACTGAATAAATACATGAATAAATGAGCAAATAAATAAAGAACTGAAGAAATGAAGAAATAAAGAAGTCAATAACTAAATCAGCAAATAAATACATACATAAAAAGTCCGAAAATCTGCAAAAGGAAAAGTGATGAACGGCGGCAGAGTTCGCGAACACTGACCTAATGGAATCTGGCGCTGTCAAAGCCCGACACGCGCTGACAGGGACGGAGCCTTCTTCTCCAGGGAGCCAGGCACGGCCGTGATGACCTTAACCTCAGCCAAGACAAGCTTGTCAAGAGTGTATCGGCGTTTACTATGAATTCAAGAAGGGTCGGTGAAGTCTTGTGGTTCAGGCCGACGAGATTCTACATCGGATGCTTGCCTTTCAGATCGTAACCTCACACTTGAGAACAAACAGACAGGCACGGCTAATTTGCGAAGATGTCCCATGACTCGCGCAACGATACTCAGCATGATCAAAAAAAAAATACGGGCTGCGACATCTCAAATTTGATGCGGGACGCCTTTACTAGCTCAGTGTCTGGCAGAGGCTTCTGCATGCTTCTGCAATGTGGGAGGGTCCGCAGCCTGCGGAACAATCACACCAAGCAACGTTGCACGCAGCCAGATTCGCGAATATGTGTTGCAAAATGAACTCTTCCGCGGCCTCCGGCAAGTTGCCGAGAGAGCCCATCAGGGCCTCGATGGCATCCATGGGTAGCGCCGCAATCTGGCAAGGGATCTGCAAGCAGTTCTGGTTGCCCCGTAGGTGCTTTTAAAAAAAAAATCTTCCGTCATCGAAGCTTCAGGTTGCTTCACATCCCACAAACGTACGATGCACAGATCTACGGATGTTGGCGCCATGTGGGGCCTCACTGTCCTTCGCGTTGGCCATGACCGCGGAAGTCTCCACGGGCGTGCCGGAACGCAGGACAGCCGTGTACAACGCCTGGCGAACGAAGCACAACCAGGCACAGAAAAACAACAGCGGTCTGCAGGTCTCAAACTGCCATTCCATTCCCACACGCTTGTGCTGCGGGCAGGCACACACATTATGTAGCGAGCTTGGGAATCGCCTCTGGGAAAGCTGCCTTCCGCCGCTTCAAGCGAGCAGCTTCCTGTCATGCGGTCCGCCCACCCACTATGAAAACGACAGATAACTCCCAAATATTCCCAACCTCGATCTGCGTTGAAAGGTCTGACTTCACCTTCACCCCCATGGATTTTTCGTCCTTCCAAAGTTGCATTTCCAAGTCCAAGGCGCGCTTAAAATGGTTTACTTGATTGTATGAGGCTGGGCGCTCGACAAATTCCCACATCGTGGGCCGGCTCTGGAAATACATGACCTTGTAAAGGCGCGCATGTGCAAAAGGCATGCCCCACTACATCCCACTACCCACAAAATGTGCAGGGAGCCCCGCCCAAGTGGCATCTTCCCACGGTGGCTTAAAGAGCACGCGTCGGAAATATGATCGCACCTCGTCACACAGCCATTCGCGTATCTGGCGAACCACATGCAACAGCAGGACATCCTGCATCGAATGTAACATCAAACATTGGATGCTGGCTTTTGCATCTCCTTTGAGTTTGCTGATCCTCGGATGCTTCTGCCATATTATGCCAGTGCATGTCCGGCGCAGTATCAAGACACATGAACGCACACAAAACTTGCAGCAACAACCTCAAACCCATTGCACCATTAGCGTACTCCTGCTTCCAGAACCCATGGACGCCAAGCATCTCCACGAAATTGGAATTTTCGGCCGCCAGAGCCTCCACGGCTGTTTTCACGACCTGGCCCATGTCTGCATCACATGTTGTGAGTGTTTCGCCATGTCGTATGCATGGGCAGCTGTTCTTGCATGTTGCTGCAGTAGGGCAAACAAGGCCTCATCCATCGCGAGGTCGCCAGCCTCGCCGTGCCGACCGGCCAGTCTCTGCGCCGGCCCCGCTACACACAATGGAGCCAATAACACACATCCATGTCCAGCAAAAACCACCACAGCAGCACCCACACCCTGGACATGATTGAAAAATTGTTCCGCGGACATGCAAGCGTTCCCAGTGGAAAAAACCCAAAGCCGGTTGCAACATGGTGCAACATGGCATGAGACAGAAAAAGTAATCAGACCAACTATGTCATTGCATATCATGTCATAACCCTGAATATCCCTACACTTGTTTGCACCATCTTGTTTTTGTGGCACCTGCACGACTGCAATCTGGTCGGCACTACGGCCCCGCCAGCAGGTCGCCGACCAGCACTTGGGCGCCGTCACCGGCGTCGACGAGGAATTCCGGAAGCTCCAGCAACTTGCTTGAGTGAGCCTTCAGCACAGCCAGCGAAGCGAGACCCGTCCAACGGCGAGCCAACGCCCCGCTTCACCCGATCTCAACACAGCGCGTCGCGCCTCGCGCCCGTGCCAAACGCCGTATGAAGCCGAGTGTCAACCTCGCCAAATGTGTATGCCTGTTTTTCTGTATGCGATTTCACAAACTCACGTTCATTGCCGCGAAGGGCGGCGCGCTCTTGCACTTGACATAGCAACCAGACCAGGAAGAGGTTCATGGGCCATAGGCCCCCGGCCAAAGTCTTGAGCTGGTAGCGCCAGCGAATGATGGTGGTGCGAACTTCGGTCTGTACGCGCGGTCAGGACTATCATTGAACGATGGAACATCACCCTGCGCTGGCCACGTCCAGGGCGGTGGGGAGACCACCGCTCCGCAGCCCCGGCGTTGCCCGCACCCGCTCGAAGCCCATTCGTTCACTCACTTGGTATTATGAATAAAATGATCTAAAATGTGAAGAGAATACGGACATGCGGGGGCATAGAACAAAGCCAACGCTGTGCTGCATAGTCCATCCGCTTGATTCAGAAGGCGCCATTGAATGTCGATTTGGTCACGGCAGCTGCTGGCACAAGCAAACGATAGGAAACGTTTCAACGTATCCTGGCAAAGGAAACCGACATCACGACCTCACGACCACGAGAGCCGCTAGGGCCATCGAAAACGACTGGTTGATCACTAATGTTGGACCTGCTTTAGTAGGGGGTCCGCTTTAAAGTCAAGTTGGCGGATTTATTCAGGATCACCTGACTGTTTGAGGGGTCCGCTTTAAAGTCAAATCGTCCGGGCACCGTAAGAAAATTCCACGTGCCGCGCCTTTAAAAAAAGGGGGGGCCCCACATTAAAGCAGGTCCCACATTAGAAAGTCTGTGTTCACGGGGCAAAATGGCTCTTGCGAAAAGGCAATGTCGCAACGTTGCGATGCTCAAAAAAGAAATGCGTGAACACAACCTGTTGCTTTTTTTGCAGTTAAATACGGTTAGGCGGCACTGATTGGCCTAACACCGAGCGCCCCGAACGTTTCCCGAACAACGAAGCAACGGTAGCCTGGAATCATAGCGATGCATGATGAACCATGTCTGGCCGGCGGCGGGGGTGGTGGAGGGGAAGGGATTCCTGGCTGTCGACTTGGAACGTTCCTGCCATGGAACGAGAAGTCAGCAGCTGCACAGCACGCCCAACAACAAGGCTGTTGGCTAGGGGTCAGCTTCCCCGGTTCAGGCCGGCATGCGGCTTGCAAGAGGCGGAGCCTTGACATGGGGCCGGGTTGCCAAGTGTTTCTGGGAACATCTTCTGGTCGACTGATACGCATCTTCGCATACTCAAGTACTGTGTCAGCAAGTGTCTTAAACCCTGTCATGCATGCAATCGTTCATTCACTTCGTCGGTATATCTACGCGGACACCGGGCATGATATGCATGGGCTAGGCTAAACACTACAGGATCGCTCTTCTTTTGAACAGTTCAAACGCCACACAGTGTTCAAGAGCGTGTCTGCTGCACCTTCCGAAAGTGCTTCCCCTTGCATGCACACTCTCGCCCGCAAGTTAAAACAAAGCACCCCCCCACACGCACAACAGCTGGCTCATCTTAACGTCCGGTGCTGGAGAAAAGCTGCATCTGGCACGGCTCGCTCTCGCCTTAGGAGAGGAACTGGTGGTATGAACAGGACAACTCAGCAGCACAGCGCTTAGTCTGCACAGCCCTGTGGCACATTCGCACGTGTCCATGTACGAAGGACATCTACACAGGATGTCATGGCTGCTACTGGAGACCCACCAACAGCACCAACACTGTTTGCAACATCACGTCTCCACTCGCTGGTGCCCCGCTCGAGCTTCCTTTAAGGGGAGATTCGCTCGAGTTTCCTTCAAGTTCTTCTGGAGATTCTGCTGCTGCTTCTTTACAAATGACGGCGACTGGAGTCCAGTATGGGATGGAACCAGATGAGCTTGGGCAATCTCAGCCAGTAAACCCTGAGGGTGCGAGAAGGCTTTCCTTAGAGGATGGGCTTGAAGGCTCACGGGCTCTGGAACAACCAGGCTGCACGCAATGAGCAGACTGAAGACTATCGTCGCATGCTGGAGCGTATGAGTGATCTGTTGTCGGTGTTGGTAAGCCAGGAAGATGCACACTCCACAAGATTAGAACGTCTTGAGCCCGACTACGGCGCACGCCTGGCGGAGTTTCCAAACATTTGTGTTTTTAACGCACCTTTTTCCCAAGTCCAGAGCGGTCGATCTCAGCCTACTACGGGTGGCACAGGAGGGGCCGAGCAGTCTGCCAGGACATCGCTGAGGAGTGGGATGTCTCCATCGACATTGCCAGTGTTCGCAAGAGGGAGTGCGAGGAGGCTGGCACAAACGGCGCGCGTGGCTGCAAACGAGATGAAGGCAAACCAGCGGAGCACGTCCACGGAGCTGGCTCCTGGCGGTTGCAGGCGCGGCCCGCGCCCTGCAGCGGGCGAGCTAGCGGACGAACCCTGCAGCCTCGGCACTCCAGCGGCCTCCGACCTCGAGAGCGAGCACGGTCAGGCGGGAGCGGGCTAATCGGCAGAGCTCCGGGTACGTCCGCTCCTTGGCCTGGCGAGCCAAGCGCAACGCGGCACCAGTGGTGCAGCCGCGCGCGCGACGCGGGGCACCGGTGGCCGTCAGTGGGGAGACATTTCCAAACCATTGTTGACGAGCAGTGGTCATGGTATGGTTCATGGCATTGCTAAAATCACGCGGAAGAACCGGCCTCCATGCTGAAGGCAATGTTGCTGCTTGGGGAAGACGATGTGAGGGTTGCCAGGCATCATATTGCAGAAAACATGCTTTCGGGCCCCGAAGTTTCCTCATATCTTCAAAATTTTCTGGCGAGTCGAGGTTTTCGACCTTTCCAAGGGTCTTCAGGTGGGGCGGTGATAGACTCTTCTGTAGCACCGAAACCGGAAGTGGCGGAGTAAGGAGTGCGCAAGCGGCGCAAGCGGTCACACGAATTGCACATGCGTCTGGGGTTCGCAGGCCCAAGCCATGTTATCAGCTTCGCTTCTGCAAAAGCAAACAGGTTCTGGGCCTCAGGCTGGGAACGCAGGCTTCGTGCAAAGAAATCAGGTTCAAGAACCCGCGCACCGAGCTGATGCGGATGGGTGGGTTGCATTCCGGAGCGCGTTGTCTCGGGTCTCGCGGCCTTCCGCTCCGACCGCCTCACGGCAGACATCCAGGCCCGCTCGACGAAATTCGCCCTCCTAGCCAGCAGCCCGGTGCGGGTGCAAGCTAAAGCGTGGTCGCCCCACGCGCCGAGCCTTCCGCCACGCCCCGACTGACCGCATTCGCCCGAGCCCAGTGGCAATGGCAGGTGGAGCCTTTGCCGCAGAGCTAGCAGCATCACGTCCGGCGGGAGGAAGCACTCTGTGGGGATCGCCATAGCCGCAGCCACGCAGCCGCTTGCGGCCCTGACTGGGTCTGCAGCATGGCCTGGTGAGCAGGCTCCAGGGCCGGTAGCAGCACGCATTCGCGAAAGTAGGAGGGACCCCCATCCGTTCGCAGCAGGTTGGCTGCGGCCTGAGCCACGCACAGGGCGGCCAGAGGTAGGGCGGAGGGCGTCAACACACGCGTCCGCGAGGCCTGGCTGCCTGGCACATCCTGGCACTCAGGTACCCCAGCGTGTCCGCCCACGCTCCCCAGTACGCCGCCGGCGCCGTGCGAACAGCGGATTGCAGGCCCAACCCTCCAAGTGCTGCGGGCAAAGTGGCGACGGCCCAGGTGACGGACGTGCGGTCGCGTGCCTCAGCATACGGACGGATAACCTCGGGCGGGACATTGCGCAGCGCGTGGTTGGCACGCGTGCTCGTGCACATGAGCAAGAGGAGCCACGCACACTGGGCATCAGGAAGATGCGGTAGGTGGTCCAGCAAGACCTGCTCCTCCTGCACGCGGCGCCGCGCCCACGCGCGCGCGTAGTCCGGGTGGCCCAGCGGGACACCCAGCACGGTATACCCGCGCTCGTGGGTAGGGCAGCCACCGCGCCATTCATGCCACACGTCTTCGCAAGCTCGCTCACTCCTGGCGGCGGTTCCCCGCATCCAGCATTGTATACACGTGTACCTGAGGGCAGTCACCCAGAGTCAGAGGATGTCGTCGCCCAAGTTGCGGCCGGAGCGGCGCAGGCCCGCGGCCGCGGCCGGGGTCGCCGAGGAGGGGCGGGACGTGGACGTGGGCGTCTTGCTGCACGTATGTCGACGCCAGATCCCGAGGAAGGCGACGGCGACCTGCGCCGGGCAGTCGGCGAGCCGACGCGGTCCGCCCCGGCATCCACGACGACCGCAGCGCGAGCCCCCCTGCCAACCTTTTTGCCGCGTTTGCGTGACGTTGACTTGGCGTCTGAACTCGAGAAACGCGTTTACACGTTCCAGTCGCCCCCACGCCTGTGTCGGGGCCTCCTCCGAAATGCGATGAGGGTAGCACTCGAGG